CTAGTAGCTGTTAATCTTCCCATTTATTTCTTCTTGTGTTATTTAATGGGACTCTGAGACTGAGGGATTCAGTTTGTATGAAAAATCTGTCACAAAAGAAAGTTAGCTTACAGTGCCTGGGCACTGGTATTTGCCAAGCATGGGGTTTCCAGCCTCTCTTCACATTATTATATACTATAGGGATGAGTCATGCCTGGAAAATGTAGTGATTGTGAATTGCAACTGTCCTCTGCTGAAAAATCCGGCTTAAGAATTGGCTCACATGCTCTAGTTCACCAAAGGGCAAACATCCTATTAACGTGCCAACATCTTATTTCTCTTGTCACAGTCAGGCAGCATGACTTCCTCAGACTGAGGACCAGAGCTTAGAGATGCTAGAGATTCTCTGTGAGAGCAGCAAAGGGTGCAGTAAAAAAGGGAAGAAAAATCTTTCTATTAAGTAACACGGGGCTGAGTACGCTGGCTTATACCTGTAATCCCAGCACTTTGGGAGGCCCAGGGAGGCGGGGAGGATCACTTGAGCCCAGGAGTTTGAGACCACCTTTGGCAACATAGAAAGACCTCATCTCTACAAAAAGTAAAAAATATTAGTCAGGCGTAGTGGCATGCATCTGTAGTCCCAGCTACTCAGGAGGCTGAGGTGGGAGGATTACTTGAATCCAGGAGACTGAGGCTGCAGTAAGCCATAATCACACCAGTGCATTCCAGCCTGGGTGACAGAGTGAGATTCTGTCTCTTTAAAAAAAAAATAACATGGAATGAAGAAGATAGGGAAACCACCCATTGTTCCCTCCTGCAACTCTAAAACAATTCTTATACCCTGAGGGGACTGAGAGAGTCAGAAGAGATCGTGGGTCACCAATAATCCCTACATTTGTGCTCAGAACCTACTTGCGATGGGGTAGGGGGGCTGAATTCATTCAAGGCTTCTGCGTGGGGGCAGTTAGTTCCAGCCCCTATTTAGTGGCACTTTGCCAACATAATGTCCCCAAACCAGCATGGTTAGACCATAGAATTAGCCTGACATGAGAAATCTGGGGTAAAATGGGAGTCCAGATGGTGGGTCCTGGTTATTGACAGCTATTAGAAAGCTGAGGCTTAGAGCCGAGGCAGGAAGCCGTACCTGAATTTCACCCTGAGTCAACTCCCTCCAGCCTGTGTCTGTCTTCCCAGAACTGCTGGTCTTCCCACAGTTGGGCCACACGAGTCCTTCCTGTTACTAGAAGGAATGGAAGCAAATGTGTGGAAGGGGTCCGGGTTACTGGAAGAGCATTTCCTAAAGTAGGGGTGGCATGGAAGTGACCCCTATGGGCATCTGTGAGGCCTTCCTTTGATGTCTGTTTTTGAAACCCTGCTTATGAAGTTATTTGTTTACATACAAGAACATTTTTCTTATTCCCCTTCTTTAAGCAGTTATGAACATATAATATCTAATAATTCAATACTCTCCATCGATACAAATAAGAGCTCCAACCCTAAGAAAGGGGTAGGTTCTGGGTTACATCCCCTATACCAAATAATCCTCTAATGATTAGTATTACAATAACATTAAACAGATGTTGAAATTTAAAAAAAATATGGGCTGGTATTCCGACTTTTCATTTGATTTAAAAGGACTGATTTACTGCTGGGAAAACCTCTTTTCAGAAGAAAGCTTGTGTGAGTTTTATTAGTTCCCTTGCAATATGGCCACAAGGAAGATGGGATCATCAGTACTGCCAGTCCATCATGCATAACTTAGGTATGTTTAAACCCAAAAGCACATTTCTCACACGGGTTGTCAGAACTCTACTGTACAGAGTTAAGTGAGCTCTATATTAGAAGCTTTGGAAGGCCACAGCATCCTCATCCCACTCATCCCCAACCCAACTCCGTTTTCCCTGTTGAAAATAGACCTAAACTCAGGTTACAAACCAGAACCAGAAACAAGGCCAACTTCAGAATAAGAAAGATGAAGTGCTATGTTCTCCCTAAGTCAGTGGTTCTTTGACTTGAGCGTGCATAAGAATCACTTGGCAATTTCTTTTTAACCTGTAGGGTTTTGGAGATCTTATCTTAGAGATTCTGGATCTCACGGTTTCTGGGCACTGTCTAAGCCAGTGGTTTTCAAATCTAGTTGCTACTAGAATCTGCTTTTTAAGAAGAGACGCTCAGGTTGCACCTAATTTAATCAGAATATCTGGGGAGTCAGGGCCAGGCTTTGGTGGCTTTTAAAAGCTCCGTGAGTTGTCTTAATATGAAGCTGGAATTATGAGTCCCTGGTATAAGCAAAGAAGCCTCCCATATAGATGTGGCTGAAGGGTCTTTGGAAGTCTTTTGCATGAGGCGGCTAGCCTGACGTGCTTATCTTCAGACAGTTGAGGTATCCTGCCCCAACACATCCAACTGGCCACATTAAAAATTCATGGCTTACAACATGGATAAGGATTAGAATGCTTGAGAAACCCTTGGATTCACAGGCTAAAATCTGTGCAGATGTGCATATGCCCGCCTTTCTAGGGAGACAGTCCTTAGCTTCACTGGATTCACATTATTTTCTTCCCCAACCCCTTGTTTTATTCATTTCCTCATTCGTCCCTTTCTGTCCCCATGCCCTGTTCCCATTCTTGTGGGCAAAGTATGCTAAAGTATATCAGGGACTCATAAAGCATCCCTTTTTGATAAAGTATATCTCTTTGTTTGCATGCTTTTCTTTGCTTTCTGTGGATCAATTTGTAATTCATCTGAATGACGTGTTGCTACTCAGTGCTGCGCTTTTAAGATCTACGTTAATTGGTATGCACACACCTAATCCATTACTCCCACCTGCTGCATCCTGCTTCATGAAGCAGCCCCATTATTCTATGTGCCTGCTCATTTCCAACTCCTCTTGGCCATGAACAGCCAAGGCTGCTCACAGCCGCCTCATGTATGTCCCCTTACAAACCTGCATAAGAACTTCTAGGGAAATATACCTAGAAGAGAAATTGCTGGGTCACAGCGGGAAGCATGTAGTTCTTTTGACTAGGAAGGGCTGGACTGCTCTCTATATACAGAGCCAAATACTTCCATTCCCTTCCTTGGATTCCTGAATGAGCTGAGATCTGCACCCTGCTAAAGTGTAAAGCCATGATGACAGTCGAGGCGGGGCCCTCGACTCTCATTGCTGTTTGCTTTTCTTTTTGCCTTTCTTTTTCCTTCTTCCCGGTTGACCTTCTTTCCCATCCCCTGTGGCTGCTGTATTAAACCTTCAATACCCCCCTCCAGTCTCTTATTCTACCTCAACTTCTTTTTCACAGAGAAAACTGACATCATCTTTAATTTTCTCCCTCCTCTTCTCAATGTGCCAGTGTCAGCCCCATCTCGATTTGTTTTTTCATTCTCGCTCCCTTCCAGGGCTAACCTCCCTAGCTTTTATTCCCTACCTTCCTGTCTTCCAGGGCCCTTGCTGCATCAGCTTTTCCCACTGTTTCTCTACCTCTCTCTTTACTGTTGGCTTATTCTGCGGCCTGTAATCTTAGCCAATTCTTTTGCATCCTGAAAGCAACTTCCCTTCTACTTAAGCTACCTCTCTTTGTTCTTTTTAAAAATGTTATTCAGCCAGATGTGGTGGCTCACACCTATAATCCCAGTACTTTGGGAGGCTGACGCAGATGGATCACGAGGTCAGGAGACCATCCTGAATAACACGGTGAAACCTCATCTCTACTAAAAATACAAAAAGTTAGCCAGGTGTGGTGGTGTGCACCTGTAGTCCCATCTACTTAGGAAGCTGAGGCAGGAGAATCACTTCAACACGGGAGGTGGAGGCAGCAGTGAGCCAAGATCACATGACTGCACTCCAGCCTGGCCACAGAGTGAGACTCCGTCTCAGAAAAAAAAAAAATTATATTTTTCATCTGTCGCCAATTTTTTGAATGCAGTGACATTTCTTCTCACTCAGTCCTCCATGCCCCACAGCCCAGCCGACGGCCTTCTAGTTGCCAAACCTCTGTGCACTTCCCGGCTCCCTCCTTATTTCTCTGTCGCATCTGACACTACTGACAGTCTGCTGCTTCTTGGAGCTGGCTCTCCCCTTGACTTGGCTCTCAGGACATTATTTTCTCCTGGTTCCTCCCATCTTCTTTCTGCTTCTTCTCAGTCTCCATCATGGCCTCCTCTCCCTTTCCCTTTCCTTTCGTCCTTTCCCTTATGGCCCTCCTCTTTCTGCCTTTGCACTGCCACATGTCCTCCTGAGAGCTCATCTACTTCTTAGGCATCCTGAGTGGTCATATGACTCTGAAACCTGGATCTCATTTTAATTCAACAAATAATTCTTGAAAACTTACTATGTGCTAGGATCCAGAGTCCCATGTGACATATGAGAGTTCACTCTTTCTTCCGAGCTCTAGACCTCTACATCTGACAGAGTTTCTGTTTGGTAAAGCTTAAGGATATGTGTATACCTCACAGACTAGCTAAAATAAATGATATACCTCTAAGTAAGTTTCTTCTGAAGGGGTCCAGAACACAGCCCTGTCTGACAAGATGTCAGCAGATAATCCTGCCTGCTCTGATTTTGGCCTGGAGAAGGCACCAAAGGCCTCTGGGGTACAAGATATACACATATTTTCTTTGACTAAGAAGTACAGGACTGCTCTCCAGAACAGCTGGAGTGCCTGCAGTTCTAAGAATATAATTTGACCCATAGGTTTTTTCCCCCTCCTTTGGAACAGTAAGACACGGATGGAGTACAGGCTGATGAGAATGAATGTATGATGTGAGAACTGTAGATCACGTCGATACTGTCAGTAGCAGACCCTGCCCTAAAGTTGCTTACCCGAATAGTACTGGGATGATGAGGCTCACACATGAAGGAGAATTGTGCCAGGCTGGACATAATTAAATGTGAAACTGAATAAACATTATGCTTTTCTTATAAAAGTTAGGCTGGGCAGATTAGGAAGGATAGAGTAGCAGATCTCCTCCAGGCTGGCCTGGCTGAGCCTCGGAGGGCCAGTTGCTCTCTGAGACAGCCTTACCTCTGTTTCAGAATCTGCTTGTTGTCATCGATGGTAACGCTGTCAGCGTGGTCCCTCTTGAAGATTTCAAAGGCCTCCTGGCGTCCTAATGACATTTCCTCTCTCATTCCTGTTTGGAGACACAGGGAAATGGCCTCAGTTACAGCATCAGGATCCTATTAATTTCATTGTCACTTTAGTCAGACCACAAAACCAGCCCTGGCTCCAAGAAGCCCACAGCAGAGAGGCTCTGACCAGACAGGTGGCCCCAGGCTCTTCCAGCTGGCCACCAACCAGCCGAGGAGGCCCTTCCAGCACCACCCGCTGCACCCCGCCAGGACTGTGCCTGCACAGCCATGTGACTTGTTGGGGGTGGGGTTTGGAACATCTGCTCAGAGGAAATGAAAACCAGAGCGCCAAGCCCTGGATTGCCATCGTTCAGTGCCACATTTCTTCCTGTTATGCCCTATTTTGTTATTCTGTTAAATTTCCAGGCATTTAGTTAAAAGAATTATAATCTAAACTGAAAGATGGCATCTAGAAAATTCTGCTTTTAGTCTCTGTTTAACAATTCATTCTTGTTTCCTGTGGTTAGTGAGGGGTCTTGGCTCTTCTTCAGGAGTTGGGTTCTCAATCACAAGACCCATGAGCTGACCATAGCAGGGGTCCCTAGGTCATATCTAACTTCAATATCCTGTATCGCCTTTGCCAATAAAGGCCAACCTTCCCTGCTGGGTCCTGCTACTGGTTCAACTTCTGAAACCCGGGGTCAGTCCAGCCAGGACCAGGCTCTCCTCCTCACCACCTCCTGCAGTGAGGGTCCGTGCAGATGTGTGCCTGGAACCCCTCAGTGAGAGCTGAATTTGCAGCTGGATTTTGGATGCATCTACAGAGCCATTTTTTTTTTTCATGCTTCTGCCCTTGGTTCCTTTGCCTGGGAGGCCTTTTCCCATGTTTTCATCCAGTAGCTCTACCTCCGTGGAGCTTTCGTCAAAGCCTAGGCAGAACACGCTTTCCACCGTGTTCCTTATCAATACACCTAAAACTCACACAGCCCAGTGGACACTGCTACTTCACGTGACAATCCTTTCTGCTGAAATGTAAGTTTCTCAGGCGGTAAAGGTAATAGTTCTTTTTCCTTTTGGTGAATCCTAGTGTCTTGTTCAACATCTGGCATTTAGAAGGTGCTCAAAATACATCTGTTAAACGAATCAGGTTGAGAATGAAGCTAGGTGGTGCTGAGCCTTGCTCTTATTACTGTGGGAACACAGTCCAGGGCTAGTGAGGCTCACTCTGAGGCTGAGGGTTCCACAGAGGCTTTCAAACGGGCCACTTACCACATCTCTTGCCTGGAAAAAACTCTCTGAGTCGCATCACCCATCCTAAGGGTGAGTAACTGGACTAGCCCAGCTGACACCAATTTAACGATTACTGTTGATAAAAATAGCACCGTGAAGAATGTCTAAATGGTGAGGCACACAAAGACACCCCACCCTTTTCCAATCAGAAGCAAATGGGCACGACTCAGCTTTGTCTCCACATCTGCCTTGCACACTCTAGAATTGGGTAGGCCTGGGAATCCGCTTGTGTGAGACGTGGAAAGATGATCCCTGATGCATGAGAGACATTGAGGGGCACATTTCACCAGCAGAGCCCCCCAAGAGCCAGCGAATTCATTCCACACTTCTCCCCTGTCCGGTTCTGCACCCAGTTCTAACAGTGCATGCCTTTTGCTACATAATAAAATTATAACAGACAGTAGAGGACATGAGACTTTGGACTGGAGTTAGGGAAGAGGAAAGCTCCATAGAGACCACACTGGAGCCTGTCTGGAGGATCCCTAAATTGCCTCCCACAGGGGAGCTGATGAGCAGGCTTCTACCAACAGAGAAGGTGTTGGGGAGTGGGGGATGAAAAAGTTGTGGGGGTGGGGAGTGAAACGTTGCTCAAAAAGCTGCAGGGAAGAAGAGTTCACAGGCCCTTCCCTCCCAGGCTCTGCTTTCTTTGCAGAGTTGACAGTGTGAACTGACAGCTGGGTGGATACAGCCATGCCAGAGCCCATGGCAATGTGACAGCAGTCGCTCCTGGGAGAACGTACAAGGCACTGAGCAGCCCACCGGGAATAACTATACTCCCAACAACCAACAACACAAAAGTAAATGACAATGTGAAAACACAAAACAACATGAATCACGCCTTCCCTGAGGTGCACTGGGGCCTGGGCGCGGGGAGCAGAAAGGACGTGGAGAGCACAGAGGGGACAAGCGCAGGCAGTTTGGGATCATTGTGTACAGAGTCTTGAATGTCCTACTGAGAAATCTGGGGCCAGCAGCATAAGATACTTTACATGCATTGCCAACTTTCAGAGACTTAAAATGGAATAAAGTTCACATTATGGGAAAGTTACGCTGGAAGGATTTAATACTTTTGTTGACTTAAAAGGCACTTAGGGGTCCTGCAGTGCCAAGGGCTTATCATCAGGAAGATAACATTGGTTTTCCTTCTATCACCGACAAGGTATTCTGGAGTTGGAGTTCTCTGATTGCGGGGACCACCGGTGAAGGACATTATAATGATGGCTATAGTCTTATCAGCTGGTTTCCTAAGTGTCCACTCAGGGAGGCCAAGGTGAGGTGGCTGAAGCATAGCCAGAAGGCAAAGAGGTTAGGCAAGGCTGGGATGCCTGCAGAGACTTCATGGCCACCACTTGGAGCAAGGCTGAGGTCCACAGAGGGAGGGTCGTGGGAAAGACTCACAGACAGCTCCAGTGTGTGAGCCCAGGTCCCAGCCTGGCCCTACCCTTGTCCATCCCCATTCTGCATGTTTGGAGCCCACATGCAGCTCCTTTGGATTGCACTAATATACTATTTAGCACCCCAATTTGGGATCAGCTGCAAAGTTAATAAATAGCTTTTTATTTATTGAAGAAATCACTTCCTTTTCCCTTTGAGGATGTAGAAACAGGCTCTTTCTCCTATGGCAAGTTCCTGCCTCTCAGCATGCACTGTATGCATTTGAAAGAGAAAGAGCAAAGGAGCAAAAAGAGTGATTAAAAGCTCACCTTGCTAATGAGACAATTATCTGTTTAGTTATTCTCTCAAGAAGTATTTATTTATATTAGTCATTGTGCTAGGCATGTGACAGAGATGTAAAGTTGAACATCAAAGCTTCCATCCTTGTGTTTAAAGAATTCAAAGTCCAGTAAGGGAGAAAGAAAAGTGAACAAATATTTACAGTGGAGGTTGCTGCTTGCTGTAGAGAAGCATGTGTCCAGCGCAGGGGACAGGGAGGGAGGGACGGAGGGAGAGAGGGAGGCAGGAACTCTCTGGGAGAGTGGGAGAAGTCTGAAAGCTGGAGGGAGCAAGTGAACTTCATCTGGAAGGATCCTGAAGGGTGGAGCAGCATTTCCCAGGTGGAGAAGACATGAAAGAAGATCCCAGGTGGAGGGGGCAGAGATGGAGTGCCAATTAAAAAGCCAACTTGATTAATACGGGTGGCTCTGCCATCCAATAGAAATGGTCTCTAGTTGATTAAAAAATGAATTTCTTATATACACTATACCAAGCATAGTATCATGTACTTTCTTACACATTATTTCAGTCAAACTTCTCTATGATCTCTGTTAATTTCATTTTACAGATGAGGAAACTGAGGCGTAGATAAATAAGTGATTATAAAGGGGTGAAAACTACCCAGCTTTTAGAGGCAGTCAGATCGCTCTTAGCTCAGTTTTCCCATGGAAAGTAGGCCTGACAGAGAGGGCAAGGTGGTGGGGCTCAAAATGACCTGGTAATATTAATAGTAGATTTACCCATGAGATCATACTCTTATTAGTGCCTATCTAAAATGTTGGTTTATTTTTACAGTATCACAGAAAAACAGAAACACATATTTTTTTTACCACTTGCATAGTTTACTTCATCTGTTAATATGTTTTATTATTATTTCTAGAATTTATAAGCTCCATGAGGGCAGGTATTTAAATTGTTTTTTTAATTTCAATAGCTTTAGGGGTACAAGTGTTGTTTTGATTACATGGATGAATTGTATAGTGGTGACGTCTAGGATTTTAATGCACCCATCACCTGAATAGTGTACATTGTACCCAATACCCAATAAGTAGTTTTTCACCCCTCATCCCCCTCCCAACCTTCCCTATTCTGAGTCTCCAATATCTATTACACACCATTCTGTACACATTTGCATACCCATAGCTTAGCTCCCACTTATAAGTGAGAATATGTGGTATTTGTTTTTCTGTTCTTGAGTTACTTTACTTAGGATAATGGCCTCCAGCTCGGTCCAAGTTGCTGCATAAGATATTATTTTGTTCTTCTTTGTGGCTGAGTAGTAATCCATGGTATATATATATACACCACATTTTCTTTATCATGGATACTTGAGTTGATTTAGTATCTTTTCGATTGTTGTGCTGTGACAAACATATGCATGCACGTGTATTTTTTACATAATGACTTGTTTTCCTTTGAGGAGATACTCAGCAGTGGGATTGCTGGATGAAGAGGTAGATTTACTGTTAGTTCTTTGAGAAATTTCTGTATAGTTTTCCATAGAAATTGTATTAATTTACAGTCTGACCAGCAGAGTATAAGCATTCCCTTTTCACCACATCTGTGCCGACATCTATCGTTTTTTGACTTTTTATTAATGAGCATTCTGGCTGGGTAAGATGATATTTCCTTGTGGTTTTAATCTGCATTTCCCTGATGATTAATGATGTGGAGTGTTTTTGCATGTTTGTTGGCTATTTTTGCATGTTTTTTTGAGAGCTGTCTGTTCATGTCATTTGCCCACTTTTTAATAGGATGATTTGCTTTTTTCTTGCAGACTGGTTTGAGTTCTTTGCAGATTCTGGATATCGCTCCTTTGTCAGATGCATAGTTTGCAAATATTTTCTTTCATTCTGTATGTTGTCTGTTTTCTCTGTTGATAACTTATTTTTCTGTGCAGAAGCTTTTTAGGCCCCATTTATTTATTTTTGTTTTTGTTGCATTTGCTTTTAGGGTATTAGTCATAAATTCTTTGCCTAGCCCAATGTTCAGAAGAGTTTTCCTATTTTTTTTTCTAGAATTTTTATGGTTTCAAGTCTTGGATATAAGTCTTTAATCCAGCTTGAGTTAATTTTTGTACATGGTGAGAGATACGGATCCAGTTTTATTCTATTACATGTGGTTATCCAATTTTCCAAGCACCATTTATTAAATAGAGTGTCCTTCCCCAGTGTATATTTTTGTCTGCTTTGTCAAAGTTCAGTTGGTTGTTAAGTATTTGCTTTATTTCAGTGTTTTCTATTCTGTTCCATTGGTCTGTGTGTCTGCTTTTA